ACTTCTACCAGCCAAGAGACCCCTCCCACCAGGGTTATGGAGGTGAGGAAGTTTTCACCTATGCTTCATTAAAGTGAATGGAAAATTTGTTCCACCTGTACGTCTGAGCCAATTAATGCAATAGAGCTGGGCGAAATGTTTGTTTTCGTAAATAAAATTGCTTTAATCTGATTTGAGCCAATAATTTTAAGTGGAACTTTAACCCGAAACAACCGTGTATTTTAATTTAATAAGAATGGCGAATTGAATGAAAGAAGTAAAAAATAACTAAATAGATCAATTGAAAATTTTATTTAGGAACAGTATGTTGACTATTTGTAACAGAGAACGTGAACAACGAAATATAATTGCAATGATTATTCATAAAATGAATTGAAGAAATCGACATTTTTTACGAAAGAGCATTTCCAAACAATACTCCCACCCTTCTAGACCTATGGAATAGAAATGTTCAAACGCTCAACCAATTCCAACATAATTCAGTCCTGCCTTCCAAAATGCTCCGTAAGATTGCCAATGCTCCTTATTACGTCTCGAACCTTACCCTACCGCAGACCTCTACATTCCTTTTGTCAAAGAACTCGTCCTTTCCCGTTAGACAAAATCCAAACTACATAAATATGCACATTAACCCACTTATCCAATAAATATGCTTCCTACATAATTTATCGGGACAATCCTCCGTTTAAATCGACAGTGGCCAAGGGCCGTACCTAATAATATCTATAGAAATGGTGAATGATGGAGTGAGTGCGGTGTTCAATCCTTTTGTAAAAAAGATAGTTCCTACTCACAGTAAGTTGTTTTTCAACGATCCGGATTTCGAACCTACAGCTCATCATCAGGTAGAAAGATTTCTACAACACATCTCTCGACATGAATTGCAAAAGTGAACCCGCCGATACCCCGTCAACGCGACGTTGAACGAAAAGTTCAAACAGCCATCTTTGTTCATTTCCAATGTAAAATTTATATTACGGTGTAGTTATAATTAGTTAATTAATCATTTATTTATTATTAATTAGTTATTAATTAGGGTATAATTAGTTGGAGGAATTCTTTGAGATCCTCTAATGTTCCCGACCAAATGCATAAAAAGGTGGGTCGTCATTTGGCGACTTTCCTTTTCCGGCCATCATGCCGCTTTTTACATATATATGTATGTATATGTGTATGTGTATATATATATGATTTTTTTACTAAATTAATTTTGTTAAACAACATAGTGTATGTCATTTGTTTGTTCGATCTCTAGATGGAGGTACAAATTTAGTACAAATAAAAAAATACTCCCGTAAGGCCTTCAGGACTGTTCGGTCGCGCCGGTTTAGCATACGACGTGCATATTTGGGATTATTCCATGTTTATAATGTGTGTATATTGTAAACAATCCGTACAAAATACAATAAACAATTAAAAAAATCTATAACATATAATGTTATCAGTTCATTTTAAAAATAAATAAATACTTCTATTTTAGATTAGTAATTGTCATACTTTTCTATGACAGGAAATTTGATAAAATGACGTAGTTTTAAATTAAAATAAGAAGACCTGTTAATATTTTTTAATAAGGTTCCATGGAATTTAGACTTAATTGCTTTATTAAATAAATCAATGTTAACTTAAGTTATTAAAACATATCGCTTTATGTGGAAATAACCACCGTACAATTTTAGTCTCAGGTTTTGATTTAATCCAATACCGTTAATTTGCCGGGCAAGGCGTATTATGTAACGAGTATTGACAAAGCTTTGCTTCCGCCTCGAATTGCCTAAAAGGGAATCGGAACAAAATACACTTGTCAAAGGCGAATTCTTAATTTCGGTCTTTTTCCACCTCGGCTGGTTGGCAAATGCGTCGTTACGTATGATATGAAAGATAAACGGTAAATAATCTTTTCCTTCGATATGAATAATAATAAAATAAAACTGGGCCGGCGTGTTGGTCAGAGTTGATTAGAGTCTAGGATTATCCCGGCGGCGGATTCATTAATTTAACGCAAGCTCGGATTAATGAGCCCCTTTTCTTCTTGTTTCATATCCGGAACTTTCGGTCCTACTAATCCAGCTCCAGTTATTAGCTAAGTCATGTGTTACAGAGGATGCTGATATTTAATTTATAATCTGTTTATTCTCTAGTTTAGAAATAACACTGGCCTCTGCTTTAAACAAAAACCGTTTTCAGCACCATATTAATTAAGGTACTTTATATATATATATATATATATATATATAATTGTAGAAAGAAGGNATATATATGTCGGAGATGAAATGGAATGCAGTGACGTATCTGGCTAACTGTGACGTCGTGACATAGTCGAGACAACGAGTGGATCACAAAGAAGAAGAAGAACAAAGGACAAAGTCAGTCAGTCAGTCGATCAGTCGTGCCTTTGTCCTCACAGCGAGAGCATCGTCATAATTGTACTTAAATAAATAAACAGAGAGACAACCAAGTGAAATGGATCATTTATTACCCCGTGAAGACGGAGAGATTTCTCCTACATATATATATATATAAAATTATATAATTATGTATATATATATATATATACATTGTTTCTTCTGACATAAATTTACATATCTTTATGTGGAGGTTTATCCTTTCGGAACATTTTAGAAAGTATATCCTTGCTGTTTTGAATTGAGCAGCGTGACTTTTCACAATCTTCAGTAACGATTATTTTTTAAAACTGCTCCAATGTAATGTTGATGAGGCTAACTGGTTCGGCAAAATTACCGCATTTAATGAGAAACTCGTTAAAAAAGTAAACTCTAGGTTGATTTTGGAGCGAAATGGTGTTAACTTGTGTCAATTATTTTTATTTTTAAAGAGTGCAAACATTAATATTAAAGATTTTTAAAATAAATACTCTTTGTGCTAATCCAATTCAAAAAATTGTAAAAAAAGAGGCGCGTCTCTCTCGCCATTGTCAAAATAGTAAATTGAATTGATAATTTAACCAAAAATCAAAGCAACATAACATATATAAAATAATTAATTAAGATTTTATCTCTAGCATTGTTGATTTATGATACCCTTTAAGCTGTAGGTATAATATAGAGTGCGATTTATAATATTGTACGTTACTTAGGCTTACAATTTCATTTTTAAAAACGTTTCAACTTAATAATTTTATTACATTTTAAAACAATTAAAAGCTATTGTTAATGTTGCACACATTTTAACGTCTAAATAGCACAAATTAATTTTCATTTAAGCTCACTCAACATCTAGAAATGTTAATCCTTGTAAAAGTTTTGAGGCGAAGTTTCGGAGTTTGTTTTCGAAGTTGGCTCAGCCCTGCGTTCTTGGCGAAAGGCTCTCGCCATGTTGTACTGCCTGTGGATGATTTGTATTTGTAAAGGCAAAAAAATTAGGTCTGGCACAAAAGAAAATTCCGGCCAGCTATTCTTCAGTATAGTAGTATTCAGTTTATTAACATAAGCCATAGATAAAAAAGGTTGTAGATTTTCAGAACTGTTGTGAATGGCGGGTTGGGGGGGGGGGAATAAATTCAGTTTACCTTTGGAAGTGGGCCGGCCATTAAAGGAATGAAAAGGCCCTATTTACATTGATATTAGTAGAAGACGGGGGCGAAAGACCGGTCAGTATATACAAACAGGAGCACAGAGATCAAAACACTAAGGGAATAAAAATCGGCTCAAAATGGAAATCCGGAATGTTTTAGAATGTATTTATCATACATGAAAATAATGAAAAGACATAAACCAACACAACAATATGACATTTGACTTTCTCCAACAAACAAAAAAATAGGACAGGAAGCCCTTTCCAAATGTCAGCCATATGGTAATCTGTATGTCAAAGGATTAAGTCCATTTGTCATCTCCTGTTTATTCTAATAAATATATATGTACATGTATGTACAATACGAGTTTTTTAAATAAGTTTTATTTTACCGTATTACAATATGGCCATAATTCAAGACTTAATTTATTTAAAAAAATATATATTATATTTTTTCTTTTTTATTATCTTTTTTATATGATTTTCGATTTTCTTCAAATTATTTTTACTAATTATTCAATCATTACCAAATCATAATAAATCCTGATATAAAATTTATAGGCCTGCGCTGTTTTGAGTTTTGCATTGCAATTCTGCAGTAAGTTTAGGGTTCTTAACAAAGTCCTTTACTTGTCCCTGTATTGGGATGTTGTTCAACTAGGTATGAGTTTACATCATGATCCATCCATTCGGCAATTATTGTTTAATGGAAATTTAAAGAAAGGTTCTGGATCTACTTGTTTGAACAGAACCCCTGGGTAGTCTATCAGCCTCCTCGTTACCCTTCTGGCCTGTGTACCGAAACAGACAATTTATTCTCTATTTCTACATCTTTCAGGGCACTTTCGATACTATAATATAGCAATGGTTTGTCTCTTATATTCTACATCTTTTGCTTAAAGGTCGATTTAGGGAAGCCAGGGAAATTGGCGTCTTAAATACAAATTTGCAGCCAGGAGAGATTGGGACTCGTTTGTTTTTGTTTTGGTATGTTATTTCATTGCCCAGTTAAATTTAGAAAATGACACACTTACATACCACGAATTATAAAGAGGCAGCGATAGAAATCCTGCAGCATCCAATATCCAAATTATTAAATTGATCATTTTTTCAAAAACACCCGCACACAGAGGGTTAATATGACCAAAGCTGTTGAAAAATCCCGCACAAAAAATTAATTAATTAATTTCAAAAATAACTTAAAATATGTTTTAAATAAATAAATAAACATAATTGGCTTTAGTATTTTTAACAAATTATACAATTAAACATTAATTGGTAATTGGACTTAAGAGAGAGGGATAAGATATTTAACAGCAATCTAGAAGTATAAAAAAAATTAAGAAAAAAACATACGAAATTATTTTTACGTCAACTGTTAAATGGCTCGTGTATACTTAAACTAGTTATTTATTAAACTGATACAACACTTCAATTTTTTTAAAATTCTTAATTTTTGTTTACAGTTTATTCGATTGACGTTGGGTTACGAAGGAACAACGGCGAGGGCGACCGTGTTCGAGATAGCCTCGTGGCTCGGCGGCAGGACTAAAGTACACCCAGGAGAAGCGGAGCCGTTGGTTTCCCTCCTGGCAAATGTTCTTGATTACCTCAACACGACTAAGGATATGCCAGAGCTGGTTAACACAACGCCCAACTTCATAACAGCCGTCAGCTCCCTATTGCTCAGGAACGCGTCGATAATTAATCAGCAGGTAACATTAAATTGTTGAATTCACTAATTTCGTGGTCCGCTTGACCAATTAATACATTACAATTAATTAAGGTTTTTAGTTGAGATGAAAAAAAGTTAATGGCATGAGCGGGATTCGAACCCACGATCTTCGGCTAGATACGCCGCTGCTCTACCACTCGAGCTATCGTGACCTCGATCCACTCGGACATCAGCTTCCTATCTCAACCCCACCTTATGAGTTTCCCTCCTTTTTGAAAAGTTTCCCTTTGGTATTGATGGCAAAAAGGAGGGAAACTCATAAGGTTTGGTTGAGATAGGAAGTTGATGTCCGAGTGGGTGGAGGTCACGAAAGCTCAAGTGGTAGAGCAGCGGCGTATCTAGCAGAAGATCGTGGGTTCGAATCCCGCTCGTGCCATTAACTGTTTTTTCATCTCAACTAAAAACCTTAATTAATTGTAATTAAATTGTTGGTTCAACTCGTTAGGAAAGTGGTATTGATTGATAAGTAATGTGTTGGTGGTTGTATAAAATTACCAAAGGAAATTAGAGATAAAATGAAGACAGAAGAATTGAATTATGATTACATTAGTTATAATAACATGATAACCGTTTGGTCTAAACATGATGATGTCTTAAACACAAATCGTGGGGGAAAACTTGTAGTGTAAAGAGCTGTGAAATATCGTGATGGAATATTCAACGCATTTTGGAGCATGGGCATAAATTATGAATAATTAGATCTGAGACAGCACTTGAAAATGGCTAAGTCTTATGTGTTTCTTCAGCTAGAGACCATATTTATCCACAACGGGAAAGAATAATGCGACCACTACATGGGCAATTTCTCTTCTGGTATCATAATTATAATTATAATCAAATGATGAAAAACTAAACTTCATGAGCTTCAATTTTTTTAACTAGAAAGTTTCAGAACATCTCTCACGAGAGTTTTTACATCTAGCCTTCATATAACTTGTAGGCCATAAAGAAGAGTTCTAATCAGTATGGAAAACCTATGCCCAAAGTAAAAATCCAACTATAAATGTATTCGTTAAAACCGAAGATACCTGATGTTAAACGATTGACAATAAGTCAGATTGAAATATTTTATAAAATGCTAGAAAGCTAAAAGTATAATCTGTATATTTTTAATTGGTCCAATTTATCCAAAGGAATGATTTTTATGTAAAGTGTGGAAGGAGGATTAGATAGACAGAGAAAGAATGAGAGAGAGAGAGAGAGAGAGAGAGAGAGAGAGTGAGATTGATACTGAGGAGATGGGAAACAAAATAAAGACAGGCAGAGCGAGAAAGAAAGAGTGGCGAGACGGAAACAAACAGAAAAGCAGGCAGAGAGAGAGAGAGAAAGAGAGAGAGAGAGAGAGAGAGAGAGAGAGAGAGAGAGAGAGAGAGAGAGAGAGAGAATGTATAGGATGGTTGTGTTGTGCTAAATTAGTTTATGAGTCATTAACTAAAATGTTCACACGATTCAAGTCGTATTTCACCTTGACGGAAATGACTCACAACTTGATGGGAAGTCAAACGACAAATGCTGACAGCTTCAAATTTTAGTTCTCAATTCTGACCAAAGGATGTCACGACAGATATCGTTCTAATTTAATTGAACAATACTTTAGTCACATGAACCCTGATTACTCGAGACACCATGGAACAGATTTTTTATCTACAATTTAAAAAAATGTTGTGGTGCAGCGATTAGTAAAGAAGGCATTAAATATATTGTACAACGGTTTATTGTAGAGATAGGAGATCAGGGTGAAGCCATAAAATTTAAAAAAATTCGTGATTAGCCCGGTAATTGTTTGTCCCCTTCCATTCGGGCGTGGGGCTAATCCTGAAGATTTTTAAAATAGGTTTTCAAAGTTGTGAGGAAGGCGTCAAATTCAGCCAAAAACTTGAAATTAGAAAACAAGTGTGTTTTTTTACATTTATGGCTTCATCTCTGATCTCCCATCCTCATCGTTGATCATCGAATGCTTGACAAGTAATTTTCTGATAATTTAACAACACTGTCAGTCGTTAATTTTATATCCCAGTTGAATAAATACCGTATTCCATAGACTATGCCGGGATTCGAACCCAAAAACATCTAAAACCTTGTTTCTACGAGGTGTGGATTGACATGCGTACTCATGACATGTATTCTGCCGTAGCCTTTCGAATTCCATCCGCAAACCGTTTCTATTGGGAATCTCGATCGGCCGCTAGTCACCCATTGCAATTTTTAACGAAGGTACTTTCGAATCATCGAAAAGATCAACGTTAGTACAGTGATTATTCTGAGATAGTGAAATGTGGTCTGGTGTGACGTAGGTTTTAAAAAAAATTTCTTTATCGTGCCAACGTTTCGATCTTTATTGAGATCATCATCAGGGCTCAAAGTGTTTGTTTTCCGTGTAGATGTGTCATTCTTTAGTGTTGTGTTGAGAATACCGGAGTGGGTTGAGAAGAACGAAGAACATGGGATTCGATGAACAGATTTCAACTATATAAGGGCCCGAAGCGAAGAGTATTCTGAAGGGCATCGCCAACAGTGAGAAGAAACTTGCATCGGCTATCAATCAGAGAACTTTTTTGTTAAAATGCAGACGACAAAGAAAGGGCACTCAACACGACACACAATAATGACATATCTACACGGAAAACAACCATTTTGAGCTCTGAAGATGATCTCAACAAAGATCGAAACGTTGGCACGATAAAGAAAATATTTTTCTAAAACCTACGTCACACCAGACCGCATCTCACCATCTCCAAATAATCATTAACTAACGCTCACTAAACACCACACGTTTGTACAGTGTTCTATTGCGATCTAAACTTAATGCAGAAATTAAAAGTTGGCGTTCCAAAGTTTTAAAACCCAACTGGTCATGGCAGTTCTTATAAATAAAGTTTAATAAATAGCCATAAATATGGTCTTGTAAAGTCGGATAACGTTTTTGCTACATCGACAAATGTCATCACATGTACAAATGAAATCATTCGACTAATTTTTCCAAATCTGTTACATCATGTTTCCGAACCAATTAGTCCTGACCCTTTTCTCCTTTGGCCTCCTGGTCCATCTGAAATTTCATTAGTAAGTGAAGTTGATAAATGACGCTATTTTCGTGACGATTGGGTAAATATCAAGGATGATTTTACTTGACACGTATGATTCCAATTATTACTAACAGTTTATCATTACTGAAATTCTACTGTTGTAATAGGCACCAAAAGATTAATCAGACTAACTAATTTCTCAGTAATATTAATAGAGAGATTTGGTGATTTCGTGAGATGCGGTCTAGTGTGATGTGGACTTTTAGATGAATATAGACTATTAGAAAACCCCAGAAAACTTGACAAAATCCTACATCACCAACCATTTTGAACACCAACACAATTTCGATTTCCACAATCCAAAAATAATAAACACATAACCAAACAAACATAAACGTAACTTTTTCGAAACGGGTTATATCAACAGTGATAAACACAGATTCAATTACAGAATTTAACATATAAACTCGACTGCAGTCACGCTAATATCATTAATCAAATTCAATATCAATAATATTCATGTAACACACACAACATATAATACAACATATAAATCAATCATTTCATTCCATATATCAAACAGTCCTACATAGTCTAAATCACCTGTAATTTCTCTACTTCCTCTACAGTCCCATCTATAATAATCCTGAAAGGCTAACCGGGCCCGAACGACAAACCATTACCCCTTTTGTCTATTGCGATCCCTTTCACATCATAGACGCCGACTTCTCATAGAAAAATGAATTGCTGCCCCTACTTCCTTCCTCACTCCTTCAAAATCAAACATAAAAACAAAATACATTAATATCTTACTAACACTCTCAACACGACACACAACAGTGACACATCAACACAGTACTTAAAACCTAAATTTTCTATAATATATACATCATTGTATAAATTTATTTTCACATCTTCCATGTATTTGTATAGTTTAAAAACTGTTTATAAATCCCAGGCCCTGAAAATGATCTAAATAAGTTTGATAGGTTAACACGATAAAGAAAATTTTTTCCTAAACCAACACAACATCAGACCGCAACTTCCCATCTCTAAATAATCAGTACTATCATATTTTAGTTATATAAACATAATTCTACTAAAATGATACGAATCACAATTTCCTTAATCTCAAATTTTGCTTTTGAAAACGTACGATATTACATCCTTATGATGATTTTTATTATTAAATTCACTAATTTCCTGGTCCGCTAGACCACTTAATATATTACAATTAATTAAGGTTTTTAGTTGAGATAAATTTTTTTAACTTTTTTATCTCAACTAAAAACCTTAATTAATTGTAATTTATTATTAATGAAAGTATGGATTTATATTACATACTTCAATGTATAATATATATCAATTAATTAAGGTTTTTAGTTGAGATAAAAAAGTGAGTGTCACGAGCGAGATTCGAACCCACGCGAAATACGCCGCTGCTCTACCACTTGAGCTATCTTGACCTCGATCCACTCGGATACTAACTTCCCATCTCAACCCCACCTTTTGAATTTACCATTCTTTTTCCCATTTTTCAAATGTCGTGTAATCTGATTCTTGACGACAAATGAAATGGCCACGGAGAGCTTTAGTGAAGTATACTATTTGAGTTTTATCTCCACTAAAAACCTTAATTAATTGAAAGATATTAATTGGTCAAGCGGACCACAAAAACTAGTGAGCATAATATATACATTCTTCTTGCCGAAAATTTATTTTAATAATACATTTTTATTACGCGCAAAAAATAATTAAATAAATGTAAGATCTTTAGGTAAAAAGTTCATAAACTACAAATTTTCCTAATTGGGATTTCAATTTTCTAAACAAATCATTTACTTAGGAAATTTTCTCGGATCCAAACATGATAATGAATAAGCTGGATCATAGCTTTTAAGCAATCTATCAATCAAACTGAAGTAAATAAACTTTCTTTTACTTCGAAAATTCC